GATAAATAAAATGTTTTTCTGAAACCTACATCACACCAGACCGCATCTCACGATTTCTAAATAAATATCGATTAACGGTCACTAATCACCACACAAATATAATTACCATTTTTTGAGAAAAACAAAAACTTTTTAAAACATTTTTTCAGTATAAAATGAGACCAACCCACCTCATAGCCTTCCAAGAGATTTACTAATAAGTCAAAATTTTGAAAATTGGCCAAAAATAGTGGTTCCAGTGCCTATGAGTTGGTGCTGGTCTCAATTAACGTAGAATTTAATTTCCTATAACGTTTATTTCGAAGTGTTAATTAACACTGAAAAAAAGTTACAAAAAGTATTTTTTTCTCTCGAAAAAAGTGGTTACTATATAAAAAAATCATATCTCGACCACGGATTAAGATAAAAACGTGCGGTTGCTCGAATTCTACCCAAAAGTTAATGCTCGAATACGTTTTTATAAGTACTGGAGACATGGTGCCATTTAGGAGTAATCCTTGAAAAAAGCTAAAAAAACATGATTTTTAGAGATTTTGAGCGTTTCTCATAGAAGGCTTCATTTGAGGACCTATGTTTCTAGGAACTTTTTTCTTCAGCATGAAATTTCCTATAAATCTTCAAAGTATTTTTGTTTCGTTTGAGCCCACCCTGTATACAATAAAACAACCCTTTTCTTTTAAAAATGGAACATTAGACCCTGATTCTCGCTGCCGTGCTCAAGCACGATTATCATGGCGAGTGGCATTCCTCTCACGCTCTCTATATAGAGCCACTAAGGACCCAAAAATACCAGTACTACATACAATAAAAGAACCCTGTTTCCTCGAAGAATCGGAACAGAGGATCTACATACTCAACATATCAAGCACAATTCTCATATCTGGTTGCATTCCTACACGCGCTCTATAGGAGCCAAGGAATTGCACCCTTCAATTGAACACATCTACCAACCTATCCTTAATTGAGGAGGGTAACTTTTCTAAGCGTAAGATCCTGAGGGCCAGCGATCGACAGGTCATTTGATTGGTACAAGTCAAACATTTGACCATTCATTGGTTCTTCCTCAGGGCTCTGTACTTATAATAATTGTAAAATATTGTAGAACACAACCCTGATCCTTCATCAACTATAAAAACAACATCTTATGCTATCCATCTTTATCAACCCCTTAATGATTATCGCTTCCATAATATTATTGTCCGAAGCGATTTCAAACTGCAGCATTGTGATTTATGAGAAAGCTAAGGATGACGGTACAAAAATTGGAAGCGCTCGTGTAACAATTGAGGAAGAGACTGGTTCTTTGTCTGACCAGAGATGAAATTAAAATTGGGCCGGCTCGAAAGTCCGACTTTGTCCCATTGTTCATTAGCAATCGTGCATGGCATAGTTTAATTGGTCTTACCTTCGACCTTCCTCCTCTTTGTCTGTCGTTTTCCTATCAAAGTTTTTAATTTAATCAAAACTAATGTAAACAATAAAACTAAAACATGACCATGTCATGATATTGAATTAAGAAGAACATAATGGGCTAACACGTTGCTTGATCGTGATGCTACATACAAAGTGGGGTGTTGTCATTGCCGGATCAGGGCATTATTATTCAGGTTATAAATAGGTTAAGAAAATCTTCCGGCAACGGAAATTAGCAAATTCCGAATCCGGAAGAAACTGGATGAAGAATGAGAACGGGTCATTGAGACCAGGCAAAATATATGGAAAACATGGAGATCGATTTGAGAGATGAAAATAGAATCATGTTCTAAACTCAATAAGAAATTAATAATTTATAATTAGTATTTGCAAAATTTCGTTATACAAAATTGTTGTAACTTGTGTGATAGATGAGACAAAATTAATTAATACTGTCAAGTATTATCGTGGTATATCATCAAGTATTAAGTACACTATTCATCACCATGATCTGTCGATGTCTCATTCATGACGCAGTTTCTTAGATGCGGAATTCCGCTAATTCTTGTCGCCACAAAATGTACTTAACTGTTAATTGTTCTATTAAATACGTTCGGCAATAGTAAAACCAATCTTCTATTGGTACTATTGCAGTGTATTTACATAGGTAGGGCATGGTCTATTCATTTTTTGATAAGATCATCGAACAAGTCAAAATAACAAAGTCACTGTACTTCATCATTTAGGCCTTGCTATTTATTTTCTGTCTTCCTGCCAGGGGGCTTATGAAACAATTAGATGTGCTGATTTCGTATTGCACAACCGAGGACTTATCGGAGGTCTGATCACGTCTCCGGTCACCGGACTTGACTTTTGCCGAAGTGATGTCACAATTGGAAAGCATTGTTTCTCCTGGTAATTATCCTAATATATAAACTTACTTATTATTTATTTGAAACATCAAAAATTCCTTTTTGAAAAAAAAATAGTCCTACAAAATGTTTATGGCAGGTTTTGCGGTCAAAACTCCAGAGCGTAAAATTCCAGAATATGCTCCAAAGAAGGAAAATCATATTTTTAAGTACAGTATAATGATTTTGAAAAGAATTTTTACATTACTACATCCATTATAACAAACAATATGCTAGTTCTGAGCTAATATTTATTTATACTAATTATTTATATAAACCAACATAGCAAATTGTTGTTTAAATCCATATTTAAAGATAGACGCTCCAACAAAAATCTAGAGGTTTCGAGAAAGCAAGCACGGTGCTTTGAAGGCACTTAACACTAGCACGGCCTGAGGGATCTGGTAACAATTGTGATAGCACAAACATAAAAACGAAATAGTTCGTACACTCTCTTAATTTAGTTTGGTATATTTTGGTCTAGAACTCTTTCTCACTGAAAATGCATGAAACCAAAAATTCGTTTCAGAGAAAAGTAAATCAGCGTTAGTAAACGGACCAGTCGATCAGTCAACATGTATCTACAGATTCTAACATCGACAATTGTCATGAACACTTAACAAATTTAGCATATGAAAATCATGATAAAATTGGTCTTAATAACAGTAACAGGGGGTCGGTGGCCGCAACGGTTAAGGCGGTGCTCATTATTGTAAAGCGCAAGGGTAAGGTCCCGGGTTCGAATCCAGCGACATTGCATTCGAACACGACATACACTACTACAAATCGGATTTTTAATTCACAAACACCGACGCCCGTACGTATTGATTTGACCTCTGCTGTTGCCAACCTTCGAAGTAAGAAACACGCTGAGTAACACGTTTAATTCAATTACGACAGCAAATAATCTAATTAACTATTAATAGGTATTGGAAGATGTCGGTAACAGATATCAGAAATGAAAGGAGCTTCTGAAGCGACTTGAATTACTGAAATCATCTTTCAAACTCTTTCATTCCGGCTCAGCAACTAAGGACGTGATCAACAGGACATTCTCCTGCAGAAGCTCCAACGAAGAATTTATATTTGTCATAGGGATTTTATTACATTGCACGGAGGCTCCATTGAAATAAATGAACTTTCTCTGAAATGAACGTTACGGACAGAATGTTTGAATAATAATTGGTGAATAGGAAGTGAGAATCGTTCTCACGTCGAACGGCAACAATAGAGCAACTGTTAAAATGCGAAGTGTTCGTGTTTGAGGGGTTATTCATTGCATATTGACTTAAATATTATATCATTCTTTGCCATAAAAGCTTTAATTGTTCCAATTCTTTTGACTTTTATGTTAAGAGATGAATGTTCAATAGTAACATGACTGGACCGATTGTTACTGTCGAAAAGAGTAACATTAAAATAGGGGGTGAACAATAAGGCCAATAAACGATTTATTTACAAAATTGTAGTTCTTTTAACGTGAAATGAGGTTTTTTAAATTAAGTCTTACATGAAATTCCAATTAATTATTCTTTTTATGTAAGGTCTTGGTTGAGATGAAAAAGTCAGTGTCACGAGCGGGACTCGAACACACGACCTTCGGCTCAATACGCCACAGCTCTCGCCAAGACACCAACTACTCATTTCAACTTACAATCGTTTGAATTTTCCATTTTTTGCCATATTTTCAAATGTGTCATCAGGATTCGATTCTCAGCGGCTTATTAAGTGGCCACAGGGAGCTGTTAGTGAAGTAATTACTTCTTTTAATTATTAAATTAATCCATGCTTAGTATAATCGACCATATTAATTACTCTTTTTTTTAGGTTTTTTTTTAGTTTTAGTTAAAAATTAGTGCCACCAACTCCTCGTCTCAACCTACAACCGCTCGTGGCACTAATTTTTCATCTAAACCAAAAACCTTAGATAAAAAGAATAATTCATTTTAATAATTAATTATAGCAAATATGGCTCATATGAAATGTTCTTTTCTTTCTTACAAAGGAACCAACCTTCAAAATGTAGTACGATTAATAAAATTCCAGTTAATGAAGAAAAGGAATATACACTGAAATCAATGGTCAATAATTTAAATCTACAATTTTAGGATCAAAACCTCAATCTGCGATAATTACAAATTAATATCCACATTATATTTATTTTTGGAAAAATTAATAGCTTTTGCTCAGCTTCATTTTTTTAATGGCTTTATTCTTAACATATTAACCAGATTCCATATTGCAGTACTTATACCACATTTTTGGAGAGATTGGAACGGGTCAAAAATTCCAGTGGCGACGGTGGGAATCGAACCCACGACCGCTGTGTCTACGAGCGGAAAGTCAGATACGCTAACCAGTCGGCTACATTTTAAACTTCAAAATGCATTTGCGTACAGGCAATGGTAGGCAAACTTTATTATTGTTGTATACTCTTTAACCATAAAAACGTGTACAAAACGTGTACCGAAGTTTGACAAGATTTAAAAACAAAACCCGTTGAATGAAGTAAAGAAAAATCTATTGGAATCTGGCACTAATTTTTCATAGCTGATAGAAATATATATTGTTACGTCGAAAAACTGCCTTACGTTTTTATTCCTGAGAAAGGTCCGTGGTAAAATTTAACCTAGTAATAACTAACATAATCCTCCCTAACCTACCTTTTAAAACTTTAATCTAACTCAAACCTAACCCATCCTACGCCCACTCACAAGTAAATATACTTAATGTTTTATTTTTGTCTGGCTCAACTCTTGCAAAAAATTTCACCCGACGAAATATAGGGAATAGTGGAAAAAATGGCTAACATATAAAGTGAGTAGTCATTTTAAAGGGGAATCCGAAAGAACATTTACTGAGGAGAATCATCAAGAAAGAGTTCTTAAAAGCAATAAAAGAGCCTGATGATAAGCTGTTAACTTATTTATTGGAACCAAACGTATTTACTTGATTCTTGAATTTCTGCATCGCATGAGAACAAATTTTTTGTTTTTATGGCCTTATGCAAATTAGCCAAAGTACTGTTGATTATTTCATCACATATAGTTGGGAGGAAGGGTTGCGTGAGAAAAGTGGTGACGGTGGGAATGGAACTCACGAGCCGAGAGTCTATCACGCTGACCACTCGCTACCGCGGTCCTCCATGAGAACACATAAAAAAACACTTTAAAAAGTCTTATTGTGTTCTCTCCTAAGGAATCCTCCATCACTAAAAGAATGTCAACTACCGAAACGCGTGTTACAAACCAGCGAGGATTGGCGGACCAGGATGATCGGGAACACCATACTGCAGATGACCTAAGAAGAAATCTCAAAATATGCAATAGTTGAGAAATTTTATTGTTGTGGTTACCCTATTAAAATTGTAGAAACACCGACTACATGATGTATTTATTGCATCCTTACATACAATTCATCAAGTGAAAGAGAGTTTTTGTTAGTTTTATTAAGCAAGGCATGAATGCTATTGAACTTTAGTACATTTCCAATTTGAAATTCGAACCACTTTTAATGTAGGAAGAAAGCCTTGTTAGTATTTAAATTCTTTACACGACCGTTTAAAAGTTGTCGTTTCAGCATACTGTAAGAGTCCATAGTTGATTTGCATATTGGTAGTATTGTTCATTTCACCTGACCTTTTTGAACTTCACAACAGGAAAAACTGATTTTCCTTTTCTTTAGATGTGTTTTGCATGGATGTTTCTATAAGTCATCACTGTTTTTTGTTTACATGGACAAATGATTTAAATTGGCCCCGATGGCTCGCTATAACAAAATGCAATTGGTCTTGGTACAAATCAGCGCACGATCTGAATAAACGACTTTCACGATCCACGGCGGACAACGACGGTCGTCCCTTCCTCGGGCGGATCGCCATCTTACTACGCATTCTTACAACGAGGCCCTCCGGTGTGCAAAAGGAGGCTCGGCCGCCCCGCGAGATCCGGAACAATGGTCGGCACGAAGAGATAACTGTCTGAGCCAAAGGGCTCTCCTTTCACTCTCCGACATTTATTAAAAGTCGCAATCAGTAAGCCGTTGATAAACGCGCACCAGGGACAATCTCTACCCTAAATTATGGAGGAAGAGAACGGCGTCTCCTTCGCCAGAATTATTATTTTACCCTCACCTCTAAGCTCTTTTCGAGTTATGTAGGTGGCCTCTTCGTTCTTATCAGTCGTTTTTTTTTCAATTTTGAACTACTATTACTCATCTTACAAGAAAAACAATCTTTAAATACTACATACATTTAACGAAGATAAAAAATAATTTTATTTTACCAGAAGAAACAAACAAACATAGCGCACTGTGTTATACTGATAAGACATAAAGCTAAAATGTTCTCACAAAGTTGGAGTACCAAGTTGCAAATCAAAATATGACATTATTTTCTCTAGGTCTGCGGGATAATTTCCGGCCATTTTGGACTATCTTGGTTTTTTGAAATCTTCAGTGGTGGCTTTGTGTAGACTAAGAACATAGTAGAAACATTCTAACGATAAAAAGAACATTAAATCATTTATGTTTTGTGGCCAATTGACCAAGTTACTTCTATCAATTAATTATTCTTTTTATGTAAGGTCTTGGTTGAGATAAAAACGTCAGTGTCACGAGCGGGACTCGAACCCACGACCTTCGGGTAAATACGCCGCTGCTCTACCACTTTATCTCAACCAAGACTTTACATAAAAAGAATAATTAATTGAAAGAAGTAACTTGGTGAATTGACCACTAAAACATAAATGGATTAATATTTAATAAATAAAAGAAGTATCACTTCACTAACATTTGAAAATGGCAAAAAGAGGGAAAATTCGAACGGTTGTAGGTTTGAGGTGGGTTGTTGGTGTCCGAGAGGATCGAAGTCAGGATGGCTCAAGTTTCGAATCCCGATCGTGACACTGACTTTTTTTTATCTTAACCAAGACCTTACATAAGACGAATGATAAAAAGAACCTGTTTTACTAAATAATGTGAAATAATGTGTAAATTTAATGTAAAATTAAAAATGTGCAAATTACTATGATAACTTCAATAGCTATTTTTTTCAACTATTAATTATTATCCTCATTAAAAATTGATAAACCTACACAAGATATGTTCTAAGAATCTTGTTTTCTCAGCTGTGAATAGCTTGGTTAAATCCTATATACCTCTCTCTCTCTCTCTCTCTCTCTCTCTCTCTCTCTCTCTCTCTCTCTCTCCCTCTCTCACAAACACACACCCACACCCACAAACACACACCACACACACACACACACACACACACACACAAATTAGTACGCATAAAATAAAGTTCAATATTGAAAATGTATATACATATTTGTCGATACAATAAAGAAATAGGAAATTTTTATACCTAATCAGTCAGAATAGAATCATCTTTTCATACTTTTATTTCAAAATTATCATACTTGTCCCACTTTTTATAGGTAGTGTTCGATATTATTCAGACAACTAATTAAAACGTTCATCAGTAATACTATAACGGTCCTACATCTAAAAGCTTTTGAAAATAAAAGAATGAGTCTTATTGAGAATTTCATTAAGAATCTAATTAAACTTATAGATGGAATGATAAAGCAATTCTCGATTATCCAAGCGGCAAAAGTTCTGTTTTGGATTCCATTGTTACGTTAATTTGCTTTGCTATATCAAAAGGTAAAGAGCGTATCCAACACTGTTTCAGCGTCATTACCATTCATTAATTCACGCCTGGAAGCATAAAGCACTGGCTGTTTACATACAATCATTCACTTAAGGTTGAAAACGGATTCAGTACCGAAAATTAAGCTTAGCTCTCTCGTTACTTTTAAGCTTAATTACTTAGACGTATAGGCAGACTTAGGTTTTCCAAATGATAAACATTTTACTTTCATCAATTAATAACTTTATAGTAAACTTAACGATCTTAGAAACCATAATTGTAAAAAAAACCACACAAAGAATTCCTGAAAAACGGAGATTTCCAGTGGACAGATGTAAAACCGCAATTGAGCGTTTAGCGAACCGTAGAGTTATATAATCTAGATGGAAATGGACTAGCACAATTAGTGCAAGTTGAGTAATGCGAGTTTTCGTCATTTCAATTCAAAAATTGTACGTTTTTCTAAGGCAGTGTCAGATATGAAATCGACTGTTTTTCATGTGAACTGCGAATTTATCCTTCCTGAAGTAAGCAAATCGCTGAGTTTATTCTGAATTCATTCTAACCGACAATCTTGTTTCTAGTTTTCCCTCGACCAGGAATAAAATATAAATATGTTTTCCTTTCTTTTCGTCCTTGGTTCTCGATAAGTTTTTGAAATACCTAAACATCACTGCACCTCATTCTTATAAAAAAGTTTCATCACTACTCGAACATGAATCTATTTTGTTTTGGGCACCATCTCTAATATTCTAGAGTTAAAGTACTGACCGAGTGTCTGCCATTATGTCTCAAGCGTTCTATTCTGAATCACACCGCTGTCTGTAGTGGAAAGTCAACTTCTTCCTCCTGCCTAAACCTTAAGTCATTCATATCCTTCTTTCATATGGATGTAGTTGAAGGGCCCTTTGCATTTATCCATTTCTATTAAGTTGGTTCTCTATGACTCAACATCTCGCTCTTGACCAACACTGATCGTCGTCCTCCCGCTCACAAATCCATTGCAGAGAACCTTGCCGTTTGGAGAAGCAAGATTATCGAACAATCCCACTTTACAGATCCACACTTAAACATAAAAATCCCTCATCCAGTCCAGCTTAATCAATTCCAATGAAAATCAACGTAGGGTACTATTGTACATTTAAACTGGAACATACTTTCTTCTGACAGTACACTCAGGTTATCAAACGTCTGATATACATAATGGATAACATTACTTGCACACACATGAACTAAATGTTTTTAGGCAGCAACGAACTCATCCTAGAGATGATGTATATACTATCGAGTCTTTCAAGGTCTTGTTCTTTGTACAGTTCTACTCCGTCATTTCCTCGTCCTAATTGATTAATAAAGCATCGTACCCTCGCCTCAGAAGAATAAAGTAGCTGTGGCCCAGCGATAAGCGGGTCAGCTGACGATGGTATCACAGGTAACACTGTGGCCATGAGTGAGCAACACCCTGGTTAACGTGTATGGTGTTTAGTGACCGTTAGTTAATGATTATTCGGAGATCGTGAGATGCGGTCTGGTGTGATGTAGGTTTTAGAAAAACATTTTCTTTATCGTGCCAACGTCTCGATCTTTATTGAGATCATCTTCAGGGCTCAAAGTGTTTGTTTTCTGCATAATTGACGACACACAAGAATGACCCAATAACGCAGAAAACAAACACTTCGAACCCTGAAGATGATCTCAGTAAAGATCGAAACGTCGGCACGATAAAGTAAATGTTTTTCTAAAACTTACGTCACTCCAGACCGCATCTCACGATTTCTGAATAAATGAAGAGAGAAGGTACATTGGCAAGAAGACTGGGACAAATGTTCCGAACTAGTAAAACCAAAACAAAAAAAAATAAAATCTATGGTTCTACGTCTGTAGCCAACTATTTAAGCAAAAATTTTTTTTTTTTTTTAATTAAATTTATTTATTAAAACTGGTCTTATTAGACCAACCATTAATAGCAAAAATAAAAATAGTTTTTATTTTTGTATTACCATTGTACTATTTTAAATTGGGAAAATTTCAGGTCTATTCATTTACAATTCCTGTTGCGCGAAATTTTACGCTCTCGTTACGCAAACTTTTGTATTTCGTGAACGATTCTGTCATTATTTTGTGTGGTGTTTAGTGACCGTTAGCCAATGATTATTTGGAGATCGTGAGGTGCGGTCTGGTGTGACGTAGGCTTTAGAAAAACGTTTTCTTTATCGTGCCAACGTTTCGATCTTTATTGAGATCATCTTCAGGGCTCAAAGTGTTTGTGTCTGTGTAGATGTGTCATTCTTGTGTGGCGTGTTGAGAGTGCCCCACGACACACAAGGACGAACGGAAAACGAACACTTTGAGCCCTGAAGATGATCTCAATAAAGATCGAAACGTCGGCACGATAAAGAAAATGTTTTTCTAAAACTTACGTCACACCAAACCGCAGCTCATGATCTCCGAATAACACCGGTTAACGATGGTCTAAAATGGTCAACCGTTTTTCAAGCCAATACTGCTCTATAGTACTAACTAGTACATTTGCTTTGTGTATATTTGTATTATAATTGCAATTTTAAAAATTGAATTAGCTTCAGTACTAGGATGTTACAAAAAATGGATGATTGGAATGTGGGTAATGTTAATAAGAGATACTAAAGATTGACATGATTGCCGATCGACTTGCGCAACGGCTCCAATTTTGGGTCAGATGTGTGCATGGAGAACGTATATAATTTTTTCACTTACTCCATCCATCAAGAGAAAGTACTAATCCGTCTAAAAGAGATACGTTTGTGTAAATTTAAGACGAGGAAAAAAGATAAACCCGGATTATATGGTTTGTTTTGCACAATTTGAATATTCGATCTTTTTGTAACGGCTCTACCAATTTTACAAAACGATTCGGAAGGGTGTGTACACTGTGGGGAGGAAGGGCGTTTCCTGAATACAAATGCAGTTTGGAAAGGTGGAAGAGGCCACCCACGCGACAGCCGTAACACGTCTGCAGGTTATCGGATTTCATTTGTGTTTTATGCAACGGCCGAGGATCGCAGAAGAGTCGGGCCAAAGGTCATGAGCCCCAGAAAACAGTAGATGAAAACGAAGGAGTCCAGCCCCAGGCTGATCGCCTACAACGCCTGCTTCTCTCTTCCGTCAGCCCACACCCAAAAGTCTCAGTCCTTTCCTAGAAATCATATTTGTTTTTTCAAATCATGAGCACAGAGAGTTTTCCAACTTCTTTTAATGATCTTTTTTTTCTCTAGTTTATATTTACACTATTCCTGCAAATTCGGTATTTCGTGCTGCGATATCAAAATATCCACAGAAATTACACGGTGTCCCTGCTAATGATGACCCTTTTTAAATTTTTCATTTTTAGTAATATTTAAAAATCGCAACAGTATCCCCGTTAAATTTTTCACTAGTATTCAAAATTATATTTTTGTGGATGCGCACATCAACCTTCTTATTTTATGTGTAGAGATAAGTGACCGTTAATCGATAGTTATTCAATACACTGTTACACAGAAGACAAACACTTTGAGTGAGTAGAAATACTTTGTTTGAATATAAAATATATTTTGCATTGTATAAATTCACTTTTCCACATCCTAAATGTATTTGTTAAATGTAAACATTGTTTGTAAATCCCAGGCCCTGAAGATGATCTTAATAAAGATCGAAACGTTGGAACGATAAAGAAAATGTTTTTCTGAAACCTACATCACACCCGACCGCATCTCACGATTTCTGAATAATCATTTTGATTTGTTTTTCATTTTTTTACTTAATAATTTTTTTCTTTAAATTAGGCAATAAACTTTTTCTTATAATTTGTTTAAAATGAAATTTTGTTTGTTTCAGAGATGGGTTGCCGCTGGTTACTCATCCTTTGCCTTCTTCTCCTCCTCCAGCTCTCGTATGAAGTGTCATCATACCAGGTAAAAATTTTAAAGATTTAAGTTAAAATATCCTATGATAAGAAGTTTTGATGGATTTACTTACCGTTTACTATTTTTTAAAACTAGTGGACCGTTTTGAATCCCGGCATAGCCCGTGGCATATTAATCGATCATAATATCAAAACAATACATATTGTAAAATGTGTGTTTAGTGAACGTTAGTTAATGATTATTTGAAGATCGTGAGGTCCGGTCTGGTGTGACGTAGGTTCTAGAAAAACATTTTCTTTGTCGTGCCAACGTTTCGATCTTTATTGAGATCATCTTCAGGGCTCAAAGTGTTTGTTTTCTGTGTAGATCTGTCATTCTTGTCTGTCGAGTTAAGAGTGTCCACAAGAATGACATCTACACAGAAAACAAACACTTTGAGCTCTGAAGATAATCTCAATAAAGATCGAAACGTTCGCACGATAAAGAAAATGTTTTTCTAAAACCTACGTCACCTCAGACCGCATCTCACTCTCTCCAAATTATTTGTTCATTCCTTTCTGATTGTTTTTTTGAACATTTTTATTATAATAAACTAACCTAACCTTACAGTTAAAAATTGTTTATTTGTCAAAAATCCGTTCTCATTATGCCAAAGAGATTTGAGTTATTTTCCTCAACTCGACATCCATTCAAGTCAAATTCTTTGGACTGCAGACTTGGAGCAGACTGACATGGAATCCACGTACAAAACTTAAGAGACAACTCAACAGAAGAGTAGGACTACTACGAAGACTTCTAGGACCGAAATTTATGTTGAAGTCAACACTAAACTAACCGTATAAACGACTTTACTTCAACCTCTTTAGGCATACGGAATGAAACTTGTGGTTCTACCTAGCCATCCAACATCCAGCGCAGCCAATCCTTCCAATCAAAAGTCCACAGAAAAATTGTCGTCTCCTTATTAAGTCACTTACCTCACTATCCACAACGACCTCAACATTCCTTTTGTCAACGAACTTCCCGATTCTAAAAGTTTCTAGATCCATCTTAAATCAACTGCTCGAGCCCTCTCCACACATTCTCATCCCGACAACCCGCCACGAATCCGAAGGTTTCACAACTGAAATCTTTACTTAGGCCCTCTATACACGGTCGACGTAACTTGAACACGATGCGATTACAACCCAACCTCGTCCCGATCAAACGGTCATTCAGACTACTTGTGTTTTGCCAGGAGGTTTCCACCACATAAACGGTTTTTGAAAGATAGTGAGTAGTTCAAGTAATGAGGAGGACAAATGAACCTGTGAAACCTCTACTGGTACCGACAAATGAAGAGGAGCCGAAGAAAAGATTGGGTACATCCATACAATCAATTATTGATTAAGCCGCGGAAGAAAAATAATTGAATACACTTTATGTATATAAATATTCGTATATTATGTATTACCTTTATTTACTTTTTTGTTCATTCAGAAGGGTCTAATAATTTTATAACTATATATCATTAAGCGTACAAGAACGTTGTAATAATTGCTAAAACTAATTAAAAACCCTCATACCATGCCTTCACCGTTGTGTCCTTTCAGGAATAACCAAGGAGAGTGTAATTGTACAAATCAGGATGGTTTTTCCCCCTCCTGTAAAAATTTTATGTTCGACGCCACTGGGATACTAACCCGCAACCAGCTCGATTTTTGCAGTGCACTGCAGGTCGCACGAATCGAATCCAAGTTGTGTCGCAACCAAGTCGAGAACGGATCGAAATGGTGTCGACCCGAGAATGGACAGGAAGTAGAGTTGAATCGACGATGGCCTCAAGGACTCCTTGCCCGATAATCCCTGACACTGAGTGCCAGCATTAGTTGGTTGGTCGTGGCTAGGGCTGTGAAATATATGAATTTACATATTTTTCCTGGTTAACTAAAACATCCAGTTTTAACAAACTGTACATGTTTTGAAAAATTTTAAATCAATTTAAGTTATATTTATTTTGCAAATTTGTGCATATATTGCCATAAATGCATATTTTGCATAAGTGGATTGTAATTGCATATTTTCTTACATATCACGCATATCGGTATTTGGCACTGAGCTTCCATTCTTCCGTTTCCACATAATGAACGAGTTTGTGTTTGGTCAGTTGCTGCTCCATCGCTTTCCGCCAACTTTCGGTCGCCTTTTCTTCTCTTGGAATAAGTGGAGAAGGAATACTGTTTGTACCACAGTAAAGTTCTCTTGAAATAGTTTAATTGGATTCATGGAAATATTACGACCTCAGTTCTCTTCTTTCCCTACCATCAAACTTCTCAGCTTTACACAGTACCTCATGCATTTTCCATCATAAAACATTATTGTGTGTTGTGAACTGACTACTCCTAAAATGCCGAAAGTCCCCACAAAGACGAAAGATCTTGTTCAAGAGTATGTGCTTGAGTTTTCAAGTGGGACTTGTAAGAGCGAAGCAGACGTTTTGTACTGTGTTTGTTGTGATAAACCTGTACCAACAGGTACACGTTTTTGGTAGCATAGCACATAAAGACGACAAAATTCAAGGAAAACAAAGGTAGGAAGTAAGTTTCAACAAACCTTTGTGACACAAGCTGCCACAAGTGCTGGGTCTGGAAAGTCCGGGTTCGATACGATTTATGTCGTGCTTTAGTTAGAAATGACACATCCATCCATAAACTAAGCCACCCTGAATTCTTTTTTTTTTTTAGAAATACACAGGGAAAACCATTCCCCACGAAAATACCCTCAGGACATCTCACCTGGATCTTATATACAATGAAACACTCCATAAAATCAGTGACTTCATCGAAAATGAACCGATCTGGGTTTCGATGGATGAGACTACGGATTTTTTAAATTTAACTTTTTTTTTAAATGCGTTTTTTGTTTTTAGTATTAGCCATTGTTCCTCTCGCCACTGTTCCTCTTTTCAATATAATTATGTGCTTTAATTTGAGGTAGTTTTTGCGTATATTCAGCTTTAAATTGCATTTTTACCAAATATATTTACATATATATGTGCATTTTTGTCTGTTTTTGTTGCATATAAATCACAGCCCTAGTCATGGCATATGGCCTCCGGGTGCAGCGCTGGCATTGTGTCCGTGTGATTTTTTTTTTAAATCACATTTGTAATATGTATTAAAAAAAATCCTCAACACTTACCAACAGCACTCAAACTAATAAAATCTCACCTAATATGCATTAAAGTTTTGTAAAGTTCAAAACTAACCGATCTGTGTATAAGGAAAAGGTCAGGCAATAATTTATAAAGCGTAATAGTCCATATTGCACATGTGGGATTGATGAGGTTGTAAACTGGCAATCCTGTGGTCCAACTACTCATTTGATTACAAACCGGGTTAAAAACCGTTTTAGAGAAATTAACCGGATGTGGGGTAGATCTGTGGTGACAGTCTGTCTGACTGCCGTTCTCCGTTCGACCGTCGATAGATTTTATTCAAATCTGTTAAAATCACCCGATACGATGATTTTCAAACGTGCTTCCATGTTGATATTTCTGAGTTGTAGACTTTAACTAAATAAAAATAAACCGTCGAGTCAGAAGTAGGCTAATGTCAGCAGTAGTGACGGGCACTCATTTCCTCCTATCCGACCGTTAAACTTCTTTTATACGGCGAACATGTGCACTACCAAGATTGGAAGTCGTGTTCTTCTCTGACGAGTGAAAATTTATTGGCATGCTTAAGACGTGTCGGAAAGTGGCCACTGTCGGGAAAGAGGGTTGCACAATGATATATTATACTTCCGTGTGCTTTCCAAGGCGCTAGGAAAGGACGAAATTACGAAATTAGTCTCTGTAAGAATCAAATCCTAGAAGCACGAACGTAAGGTTTAGTCGACTGTATAAAATATCGTTTGTCCCATTTCAGGAAAATAGCTCCCGAATGAACCTGGATTTGGTTGGCATTTTGCATTATGAACATTAGCATAAATTATACCATAGCAACGATTTTAACTAAACATATTTAAATTATGTTATAGTTAGATAAATATATAATAATACTAGATAANATATATATATATTATAAATGTATATTTTATATGCAGCATATTTATATGCATAATTTAAAAAAATGGATATAAAATTTAAATAAATTGCTTATCATTGGGTTGTTCCAAATAAAATGTCCTATATTACAACATTTAAAGAAATTTAACGAGTTTCTAGCAAAATATCTGCGACTGAGACTGTGTTATTTCCAAGAAGACGAGTTCAATTTTTGGGTTTTTGATTAAATGTGTGGTTTTTAGTGACCGTTAGTCAATGATTATTCGGAGATCGTGAGATGCGGTCTGGTGTGACGTCGGTTTTAGAAAAACATCACGCAAACGTTTCGATCTTTATTGAGATCATCTTCAGGACCTGGGATTTATAAACATTGTTTAAATTTTACAAATTTAAGACGTAGGATGTGGAAAAAATTATGAATTTATATAATGCTAGAAAATTTTTTAGATAAAAAAACTGAATTTATACAATGCTAGAAAATTTTATATTAAAAAAATGAATTTATACAGTGCTAGAAAATTTTAGATTCAAGAAAAAAAATTCATTTATACAATGCTAGAAAATTTTAGGTTCAAAGTGTTCGATTTCCGTGTAGATGTGTCATTCTTGTGTGTCGTGTTCACAGTGCCAGTGAGATATTGCTGTTTTATGTATAATTATGTTGGGGAAGAAAGTCGGGATATACCTCAAAGAAGCCGACTTCTCATATAAAAAATCTTCTCCACATTCTACATGCATTTGTAAAATTTAAACTATGTTTTTAAATCCCAGGCCCTGAAGATGATCTCAATAAAGATCGAAACGTTGGCATAATAAAAAAAATATTTTCTAAAAGCTACGCCACACCAGATCGCATCTCACGATCTCCAAATAATTTTTGATTAAGGCTGTTCTAAAAAAACTATTCGTCGTTGATTAGGAAAGTTGTCTCACCTGTGAAGACATGACCTATGAAACTAAGCCCACGGAACAGCATCAACATCAATATCGTACAAACTTT